GTTTTACTGGCATGCCTGCTATCTCTTTTTGTTTGTTTGTTTCAAGTACAGTTGCGGAAAACACCTCTTTTTCCTTTTATAACAGGAAAGGGAGATGAACAAGGAAAGAATTACAGAAGAGCCAAGAATGGGAGATGATGTGCAAATACATGAGGAAATTCTAGAGAATGAAAAAAAGAAAGAAGGAATTGGAGGAAAAAAGGAAGGAATAGGATGGATTAATAAGAGATCAGATTCAGATGTCATTTACACAGTTATAAATCAGGAGAGAGTAAAGAACACTAAAATGATGTGCTCCTGTTCATTTGGGATCCTTGGATTTGTCACGTGGATTTATTCAGGTTTTTTCATTTCCCTTTTGGTCTTCCACTTCACTTTTAGTGTGAAATCTAGACTTCAGTCAGGGTTCAAATACAGGTTTATTTTCTTGAAAGATATAGGCTGTGTTTTACAGAAAGGAAAGGGAAGGAAATGGTAGTCTAGATGAGCAGATATTTCTGTGGGCATTATGAATACAGCTTTTTTTTTTATTCCTACCATCTACATTCTCCTACAAACATTTACTAAAACTAAGCTACTGACTCCAGGCCTCTTTCTATATTTTGTGCTTTTAGTTTGTCTGGAGATGCCTTCTACATAGGCTGTGTTTTACAGAAAGGAAAGGGAAGGAAATGGTAGTCTAGATGAGCAGATATTTCTGTGGGCATTATGAATACAGCTTTTTTTTTTATTCCTACCATCTACATTCTCCTACAAACATTTACTAAAACTAAGCTACTGACTCCAGGCCTCTTTCTATATTTTGTGCTTTTAGTTTGTCTGGAGATGCCTTCTACACAGAACAAAACATGAAAGCCAAGCTACCGTTCCTTGCCATCATGCCACCATGAAAAGTCCCTTCTACCTAAAGCACAGCTTTATGCAAAAATTAGTTAGGGTGAGTAGAATAGGCGCTCATCTGGGGAACAGAAAAGAACTGCCACTGTCTAGTCTGGAGCTCCTCAACTTCTGGGACAAGTTAGGCACTGGCAGGACAACGTACTGGGGGACACTGACGCTGAGCTGCGGCTGCAGAGCAACAAACCTTTGTGTGTCCAGGCTGTCAGGTCTGCTAGCACTCCAGGACAGGTCTCGCAGGGAGAAGTGATGATCACTTTCTGTCCTCATCAAACGAAGGGGAGCTGATGGCACCAGCTGGGGCCAGATCAGATCATCCTGTAAAGAGGGATAGAGACAGCCAAAGGCTGAATGCAGGCTATGTTGCCTGTAGACCGTAAAAGCTTGCTGTTGGTTTCTAGAAAGAAAAAATACAAAAGCTATGCCTTTAGTAGCTATCAGGTGCTTCTCAGATGACACCTGGTGGACAAAAACTAAAGAGATGAAAGCAGCCTGCCTTCACAGTGCAGAACTGTACCATCCCTGCTTGCATCTGCACTACTGCACTTACTGCTGGTATACCTATCAGGTGTGCTCCCTACTTTGCTTATCCCCGCCAGAGTGCATTACTACAGCGCCCCAGAATAAGCACATATCATTCATCATCCATCAACCTGTAATAGCTTTTTTTTTTTGCACCTGCTTCCATTTTTTTTTCATATTCTGGCTGATGCCCTGAGTTGGTTTAATTCTGACCTGTGAGTCTGAGGCTACACTAGAGTTGAGACATTGTTTTCAGAAATAAAAATACAAGGAAAGCCCATGTTGTTAGCAGCAATTGGGTGCTTTTATAGCCTAGGATACCTACACAATTTTATAAATGCCTTCACAAGTGGATAGTTGTAACCATAGGGTTAAAGGCTTTGTTTTCTTCTGATCATTAATTTACTCTTTCTCTTTTAAACTACTTCCAGTTTGCTTCTCTAACACCGGCTGTCTTTTCTGCTTGACACTTTCCAACCGCCCTAATGCATTCTTGTTGACAACCCAGAGATAAAAAAACCCACTCTGAGTTCACCTGGAGAGAAACATCTACTTAGGGAAGTCTTTCTTCTGGGGATCCGCATCCAGTGAGTGGGTACTTATGCCTCCCGGTAACCACCTGGTAGGTGGTTTCCTCAAGGATCTCATGGATGTGAATACAACATTACTGTGCAGTCCTTTTTCTCTACTTGGCTTGAAGGATTTCAGGAAAATGGGAGACATTGCTGAATCAACACTGTGACAGATGAGGCCTCTTCCACAGAGAAACATAGCTGTGATCAATTCTTTGATTGCTGGCATTGCATCTTCCAGGCTAACACGTTTTTTTTCTGTTATTTGGGCTTTTTTGTTCTATGTATACCCAGTTCCTTTAAATTTTAACAGCTTTATTTTTTCTCAAGGTATTTCCATGCTTTACTTTTGTGCAAAATCTTGAAAGTTTTTATGAAGCAAAACACACACAAAGTCAGGGATTTGCTAACTTCAAACACCAACCTAAGCTGAGAGAGTGTGGGAGAGGTCAGGATGTAATTACCCTATGTATTCATCTAGCTCGTTTCTTCTGGATCTAGATTACCTGTTTACAAAAAGTACACGAAGGCCACCCAAGACTTATGGCATTATATTTGGTCTGTCTGGGATGGAGTTAACATTCCCTACTGCAGTCCACATAGAGCTGTGCTTTGTGTTTGTAGCTAGAATGGTGTTGATAACACACCACTGTTTGGGCTACTGCTGATCAGTGCTCCTACAGCTTCAGGGCTGTCTCTCCAACATCCCCCACAAAGGCCAGTGGGCTGGGGGTGGGCAAGAGGTTGCGAAGGGACACAGCCAGGACAGCTGACCCAAACTGACCAAAGGGATATTCCATATCATATGTCATGCTCAGCAATAAAAGCTAAGAGAAAGGGGGGGGAGGTATTCATTATTAAGGTGTTTGTCTTCTAAAGCAACCACTACACATACTGGGGCCCTACTTCTCAGGAAGTGGCTGGGTGGGAAGTAGAGAATAAATCTGTTTGCTTTCCTTTGCTTCCGAGTGCGGCCTTTGCTTTTATTCATTAAACTGCCTTCATCTCAACCCATGAGTTTTTCATCTTACTCTCTTCCCCTGTCCTGCTGAGGAGGGGAGTGATAGAGCAGCTTGGTGGGCACCTGGTGTCCAGCCAGGGTCAAACCCACCACAGGCATATCCTGGCTTAAATGAGTCCTGCTCCACAGAGGGAATGAAGTAATGTCCGGGCCCAGCTGAAAGCCAGGGCTCATCTTTATACCAGCATCACAACTTGATGCCTGCCCCCCCCTGTGCTTAGAGCCAGAACTAGCCAAGCCTAGCTCTGCTCTGATACCAGAAATACCTCTGCACATGGTTTCCAGGGCATCTTTGTAAAGTCCTCAGGATTCTGAGTAACTCACGAGTAAAGTGTGTGGCAAACAATAACATAGATTGACCATCCAGAAATTGGTGAACTACTGAACAGCACCCGAATTACACAATGACCAGAGCCATCTTGTTAAAATGCTTGCTGGAAACAGGTGCTTGCTGTGCTGCAATCCCTGACCAGTTATCATTTTGCTGATCCTAGTAACAGAAACCTTGGAAGGGCTGACAGTCACCAAAGGAAAACAAATACAAACATGTTCTAGAAGACACATTTTTTTCTCTTACATCCAATAGTGAAGGACAAGACAAAGACAACTTTGAAACACTACTGTGGAGAGAATACTTTTACAAGCCGCTTCAGGTAGCAATCTGTGAGAACAATCATCCTTAATTTATGCTGATGACTATTTTCAGCTTTTGAAATGTTCTCCTTTACTTGTCAATTCCTATTCAGCAAATACAAAGAAATCAAATGCAAGCAGAGTCATGTAAAGAGGAAAAATGTATCAGGAAAGTGCTCTTAAAAACATCAATTAGGCAATAAAATGTCTTCAGCTTAGGCCATTTGGTTAGCATCTCTGGACGCTTTTGTGTTCTGCAGCTGGGAAAACACCACTTCGTAAACTCTCTTTAGCTAACAAAGCCACTGCGTGAATAGATTATTTCTGTTCTGCAGAAATGTTAACTGGCAACTCATTAAGAGTTTGATTGGTATATGAGAGTGAAAAACAAGATCTTGAGAGTCCCAAAAATGCATTGAATAATGGGAAACTCTTTCTTTTCTGCCAGGATAATGAGGATGTACTCTGGTCTTCCTGAAGGAAGCAATCAATACAAAACCTTAAATCCCGACATAAATGAAAGCGGAGCCGGTAACAAGCATGCTCCGTGAGTTGAGAAAGGAAAAAACGTGCTTAATCATATATGCAAGACAGTTAATCAGGCATAGTCAAATTACAACCATACATGGCTCTTTCCAATTTACACCAGCCACTGAGGGAAGAGGGGGACACAGTGCTACCCTACAGCAAGCACCACTTGCTGCCATACATGTGATGGATCTCCATATACAGGATTCCTCAACGGCCCACAGGTCAGACCAGCGCTGTCCACCGGGTCTTCAGCACGTCTTTCTGACAGGACACCTGCATGTGACACCCAAGCTACGACCCCAGCTCTTCAAGCCACCTCAAGGGACTTAAACAGCATCGGAGAATAGCCTGGGGCCTCTTGAGGCCGCCGCCTTCTCCAAACGCTCACCACCTCGAGTGCACGCCCGCAGCGCTTTCGCGGCTGCAGGCACTCTGGATGGCATCTTCCCCCTCCAAGACGGCGGCACGCCTCACACAGGCACCGATTGGTTCAGACAACACGGCGAAGACCCTCCGCGCATAAACCCCACCTTCTTTCTGTCGAAATCCCAGCATTTCGGGAGGCTTAAACCGCCGACACGACGGGAGCCGGCCCGACCGCCCC